CAATGAATGAAAAAGCAGAAATAAAAAGGAAATTAAAACAATAAAAGGGGTAAAACAACCATTTGAGCATCTCCTGTGCTGGGATTATCAAAAGAAGCATTTAAGGCAGTTCAGGAGGATTTTAAAACTTTATATGAAATAAACATTCTGGGAACAAAGCTGGCTCAGAAAATGTACCTAAACTACAGATGACTGCATCTGATTTTGCTAAAGCTAAATTTAAAAATATTTAAAATGATTTAAAAACATTTAAAACTAGTTTCTTCGAAAACTAAATGTTATGAGACTGATCTTAACCAGAATGGGAATAACATTACAGAAATGCAAGTAAGAAATTAAGAGCACAGAACAGCATTCTGAGCTTTTAAGGGAATCCAAGAGGACATACTGCATACATTAGATTAAATCCACGACTGAGCAAACAACCAGCAGATGCAGTTTAATAGAGACAAGTGCAGACAAGGCTTTCTATGCAGTCAAAATCTAAACTATAAATACAAAACGGGAAATGCTGAGCTAGAAGAGGCTACTTATAAAAAAAATACATCATTTACATATTCCAGATGCGAGGAAGCAATTAAAAAGACAATCAAAATGCTAGGATAGTTAAGATCACAGAATTTATATCAAGGGATCTTTTGTTAAAGTTTACAAAAATGTGTACAATTTTGGTCATTGTGTTATAAAACAAAGGTACTGTTCCTCTGGACTCAGTCCAGGAAAGAGCAAGCCGATACATTCTGGCACTTAAGGGTGTCTACTGTATCGACGAGCTGAAAGAAGTTAACCTTTTCACTCCTGAAAAGACAAGATTGGTGGAACCTGACACATGTATTCAACATCAAAGTCAATGCAACAGATTTATTCAGAATGAACAGTGAACCATAGGGCACAAGTGGTAACTGCATGGAAAGTGCATTTAAAAATGATAAAGGGAGGCAGTTCTTAACCCTAAAGCATGGAACAAGATACCCGGCCATGTTGTTGAAGCCGATTGTTACGACCCCAAGTGTACAGGGGTAAACGGGTGTAACATTTAGAATAATTTTTGGATTCAGGTGGGTTCTGGTGAGGGACTTGAGAAGCGTGATAACAGGGGTTGGTGCAAAAGTGATTATTTTAAGTTGAATAAGTGAGTGGTTCAAAATAGGACACAATAACTCACAGGGTAAGGGAACTAGAGTGGTGCCAAAGAAAAGAAAATAACAAAAAAAATGGAGCTGGCTAAGAAAGTGAGGGAAAGCTAACCTGACTACAAAAGAAAACCCGAAACACACGGTCTTCTGTGTCTTCAACACCCTAGCTAACCTCCACTGACTACCCAAAACCATACAAGACAAACAGCACTCACCCGTACTAAACTAGTGTGACTAATACAAGAATCAACTACGTGTGTGCAAAATGTACCCAACAACCTGAACTAACTCTATACACAAAAGTTCACACAAATACACAAGTGAACTATGAATACAAACGAGAGTAGACAAGTAACAGGGTACAAAAGAACACAGAGATTGATACAATAAGTTTGGGCAAGGTAATGGCAAAATAAGGATAAAATAAACAAACGAAAGTACAAAGAGACGAACAGAAACCAACAAAACAACAAAGCCGAAGCTATACAAAAACACCCACACACAAAGCAAAGCAAAACAACAAACCAACAAAGCCAAAGCAAAACCAAAAGCGAAGCGAAGCAAAAACCAAAGCCGAGCGGGACCGAAGTCAAACGAAAGGCCCCTTCCTTCTGAAAGCCTCCATGTTTTATATTGCATAAGATGAGTTGTGATTGGTCGAGAAGCAAACTGAAGATGATGTCATATGGAAACAGTGGTGTAATGATGGACCAATGAGGGAGGAGAACAATCAAAGTCAGAAGTGTGGAACATAACAAAAACACACCTAGACCACACACTGGGACGCAACACTGATACTCTGGCTTATTTCAAGAAGCAGCTGGATGAGATCCTTGGATTAATTAACTCATAACCACCACACAGACTAGCTCTCGTTTGCTGTCCCTTCCTTATGTTCTTATGTGCTATTTATCTCCTTTTCAATGCAATTCCAGTGGCACACAAAAGATAGAAAACAATGCCGACCTCACTTTCAGAAAAGCTGGTGTTGCAGAAACTTAATTGAAGTAGATGGGAATTTAGCCCTGTACCCCCACCTTCCTCCAAAAAATGACAAATACCGTAAATATCTCCAGCACTGGATATCCTGGCTAAAGTGAAGGGATTACTAATCATGTTGAACACATCTAACCAAACCACAGCTTACGTTTTTTCATTTGAATAGCAAATTGGCAAAAACACCCCACACATCACTCAGAACTACAAAACCATTACATTGCAGGCAAATACGCCAGTAGTTTCACCTGTAGGTTATACCGTGCTGGCACAATATCAAATGTACATCTGCAGTTCAAAACAAAAGTATACCGTGTTACTGCTTATTATGCTTATTCTGCGTTTTGTTTTCCATAAAAGTACTTCTGCAAGGAGCATGGAAACCTTACTAAGGCCTTTTTTTTATTTTGAAGTAGTCAGTCCTATTTGTACCAGAAGTAAATTTACCTCTCCCTAACTTTCCAAGTTGTAGTACCTTTGATATAAAGCCATCTTGAACAATACAAATGTTCTGAGTTCCTCTTACTGAAAACCACTGCCATACCCTTTCCAACAAAAAGGGAATTACAAGTTCCTCCAAAAGAGGTATATGTTTAAATGTGCAAAACAATAGCAAATTAAAGACAATTAATAATTGTCAAAGAAGGGGGAAAAAACTAAAAGGTTGTGCCCACGCTCTCTCAAACACTAAAACATCCATCCTTTCTGCTTTTCATTTGGAACTACTGGGCTACAGTGAGCATGATGGAAAGTGACAGTTCTAGGGTAACACAGTGGGCCAAAAGACAGTTCAGCCTGGACCTCTGCAACAGCTCCAGGGAATAATTAACTACTCCACTAATACCATTAGTGCTAGAATTCTGAAACACTCTAGACATTTTTAGAATTTTCCTTAAAAGATCCAGAGCATTGTTAATATTACTTGTTTCAATTATTGCAGCCTTGTAAAGAAAGAATGCTTCATCTTTATGTTAACATCTTAACAAGGTTTGTGACTAAAGGCAAATCAGACAAAATAACCCATAACTATAACAAAGATGAGAGCCTAAGGCCTGAGCTAGGACTGCACCCCAAACACGAGACGACACACACACCCCGGGGAGGAGAAAACCAGAGCATCCCATGGAAACCCAAGAGAACATGCACACTCTAGACAGATGCCAAATCAAGTCTCCCAGTACTCCCAGGCCAGAATTAAACCAAGGACCCAAGAGCTGAGTCAGGAGCACTAACTCCCATGTCACTGTGCCACCCTGATTTCAGGCACAGGGAGTTCTGCAGCTTTAACCTATAGGGCCCTAAGACTGGATGTAACAAAACTCAGAGGCAGTTTTGTTACATGAACTATTTTACCAAATAAACAGGTCACAATGCAACCTGTAAGTGTAAGTATGTACTCTCCAATCTGAGTGAAGGGTACAACATTGCTGCTTGTGGGATTTCAACCCATAGCCATCACCTTACAAATCTAGAGCCCTATTCACTGCTGCTCATGAAGACATTATGAAAGCTTTCAGCTTCTTCCTTTGGACAGAGTTCAAATAAGGGGCTGAAAGACTCTGAAGCAACCAGATACCTATTACCGAAAATGAGTTATAACTGTAGCTGGGAGGAAAACGGAGGTGAATCATAGCAATAGGCAAAATGTCTCAATGGACCAGCACTATGTTTTAATACTTATAGTCATAGACTGCATTTCTCTTTGTCTGTCCATGGTTAGGTCAAGGAAGAAAAGGACAGCCGATAAAGTGTGGCCTCTGGAGACCAGAGCATCTCTACATCATTCACTGCCTTCCACACTGCTAACCTGGAATACTAACAGCGGAGGTTCAGTGACAAGAGTGCGAACGGACACAACTCAATATATCGCTCAGCAGGCTCCTGGCCAGTGACTGCGATCAGTAACACATGGCAACCTGTGGACCCCTCCCACTAGCAGTCTTCACCCCAACAAAACCTGTAATACTCAGTCACTTTGAAACTGTGGCCGCAGTCTCTAGAAAGATTTAAACCGGGTGCTTTTATGTAATAAAAATGACCCTTTTAGGATAAACTGACCGGCAGATCTTTATGTAAAGATCACACCTTCTTGCCAAAAAATGTTCTGTAATCTGTGGTAATTCCCCCGCCTTGCAGGAAGAACACTTGTATGAATATTTAATTACATGTTCTCCTAAAACGGCCAAAGGAATTCTTGGAAGTCAGTGGCTACAAAATAAGCTCCCCCCCCCCGCTCTATAAGCACTGTAAATGAAAAATAGGCCTATAGCTTCTAGTAACTGGTAGATGCCTCTCAGATCCCAGGGAACAGGAATACTATTTACTAATTAAAAAGTGGTTTGGACACTCATGTGGATGAATTTCTTGAAATACAGAATGTTACTAAAGCACCAATAGGTATTTTGTAGTGTTGAGGTTAGGTTTGGTTGTAAGTTTGAACACTGCTGTGCATCAACAGAGTAAATTAATTATTAACCAAATGCACAGGATACAGGTGATCCAGCTGATTTTGTTGGAATTCAGTAAACAGAAACATCTTTGTGCAGTAACAGGTTATACTTCATAACATCTGTATCTTATTCAGAACTGGCCAATGGATGGGGTCTCTTACAAACATTTTGGAGAAATCCTTAATGTTTTGATTATAAAGACATTTAAGGAATATGATTTACTTAACATTCATTGTTCTGAAGCAAAAAGTGTTCTTTAAGTGCAAGATTTAACACTACTGTATTTTGGAAAAGTAAGGAAATTATTTTCCAAGTGTTACTGCATCATCTTCCACAAAGAGTACAATGTGAGCTGACCAGCCTTAGGAATGAGGCAGTCCAGAAGTGAATACTTAAACAAAGGGGCTGCTCTGCTTACTGTTCTTGCTGACATCAAGCTCCCTGAGATTAATGAGGTTCGCGATGGATGCTGGCAACGCAGTTAAGTCGTTATCTGGCAGACTCAGTCTATGAAGTGACTGGAGGTTGAACAGTTGCTGTTGAGAAGAAAAAAGACAAAACCATTTAAAATGTGTCAAATATGGAATACAATATACAGAAAGCAGAATTCTAATAAAAAATTAGCAATATGCAACCACTTTCATTCATGTCTTCACTTCTAATCATGTAATACAGCCAATGAATTTCTACCGAAATGTTTACTTGCTACACTAGTAAATCAACGTACTGTATACATCAGGTAAGCTGATAACTCAAAACATGTACATTTCTTGTTTTACTTCAAAACAAACAAACGGTTTTCTAGGTTTTCTAGGTTTACACACTCAGTAAGCATTTCAAAGACACAAAAGTTTTTGGAACCAACATCCATATATACAGTATAGGCAATGTGCACTTTACAAGGTTTTGGGACTGCTAAGTACAATTGTTACTATGGCCTTTTAATTTGTCACCACAATACAGTGTAACAAAGACCCAAAACATATGGCCAGTGCAATGAATGACTTCTTGGGGGGGGGAAAGTGGAAAATCATAGACTGTCAACTTCCAGATTTATCTGGCAAATTGTACATTTAAAGCACCATGAGCAGCATTTAACATGCTGCAAATATCTGAAGTATGGAACCCTCAAGAACAGGTAAGAATTCAAAGTAGCTGCAGCAAAGCTTTGCAACTGAATACACAAAGAATCAGATGAGCTCTATGGGTTACAGACTTCTTGCAGCTATTTCATAAAGGGTATATGGAACCAAAAGCTGACTTTTAAACTCTAAAATGTACTTGAATGTGAATGAGCCTGCTTACAATCACTTGACATCAAATGATTGAACACAAAGCATGGTTTTGTCCTAATATGACCAAATGTATGCATGGGATAGCAAAAAAAATAGGTCTATATCATATTGAATGTATTCACATTAATATGATCCCAGACACAAATTGTAAAGGAAAAATAATATTTACTTTGCTTTCCCAGTATGTCTGTAGTTCACTATATACATGCGTGTAGTACTTTCAACAGAAATGCAGAGAACTTTCCTGGACAGAAAGCACCAGTCACACTAATTTCCAAATAATACACTGCCTCACTGATTAAATCTATATGCATGAACTGCAATTAAAATTCAAAGAAAACCAAGCAGAACCACCTTGAAAAGTGTCCTTTCATAACAGAGGTCAATCTCCCTAAGGACGCTGAATGCAGAATTTCAATGTATAGATTTCACACTTATCCCCAAACCACCCAGCATGGCGCTGAAGCCACTCTTATTTGACGTCTTTGAAGTGGCAACATGGGAATCTATAAATGTTTCCTCACTTGCCTGCTGTAAATGCATGATCCATCACAGCTCGGAATAGAAGACCTTGAAATCACTGACTTTAAAATGTCTTCATAATATTCAAACTACATTAACATGGTAATATCAACAGCAAAATGACCACAATCAAAGTGGCTTGTGATCTTTATTTTAAAAAAAGCTTCTACATCTAGAAGCTATATTACTGAAATATATTTGCACTGAGACTTAATTCACTACTGTACTGGATTTAAGAAGTGAAGGTTCTTTCGGTCCTGTAGATTCACGGGAATTTTTACAAAAACACAGCTGGCAAATTAATGATTGGTAAGAAAGTGCTTCCAGAAATATAATTTGGAAATTAAAATGGATAGTTGTAAGCTAAGAAAAAAAAATAGAAAGCACTTAGCAGACTCTGTGTACTATTGAATGTACTCACCTAAACATGCACTGCTTTTAACATGTTTGTTTAGGGGCTAAAGGTGTCAACTGATAAGATTCAAGTTCAAACTGAAGTATCTTTCTCAAAGCTCCAGAAGCTGTCAAACAAATATTTGCTTTGCCTATCTCATCCTTACTTTTAGCTTTACACAATTAATGGATTTAATGGCTGTTGTTCCAGCACTGTCCCGACAACGGAAAATGGAGTTGTGCTTTATTTTCCTTGACATTTTAACAAAGGAAATTGAAAAATAACATATATCCATAAGATCTTTTCATTCAGGATGTGATTCTGATTCACTAAAGAAAAAGAGTGCTACCATATTGAAATTAACAACCTATGACACACCATGTAATATATTTCCAACAAAACACCAAGCGCAGAATAGAGCTCACAACATTCTCTGGCAGCTTAGCCTTCTGTATTAGGTTCTGAATAACAGAGACAGGCAGAAGGTTCATATTAACATCACAGATATTAGTATTATATAACTGCCACTTTGTAGTGATTTTTTTAATATACTAAGGCTTTTTACTTCAGGATTTGAACTTGCAGAAGAAGTTCAAAAGTAGCAAAGTTCACACAAAGCGATTTTTGTTTTGCTTTGTCTTTGGTGACATTATATTAATGTCTTTGGTGGTATTATATTAAAGTTACATTAAAAAGTACTGCTTTATTAAAAGTTTGTATTGTTCTTCAACCTACATACTTTTTGCTAAAGTCCTGAAAAACATCCAAGTTAAGCGGAAGTGAGTTTAAAAGTGGGAAAAGGATGTGCTTTTTTAAATAAAAAGTACTGTTGGGAGTCTGGAACCCTGAAAGCCTGATACCCTGTTTTTTTTTCAAGAAAGGGCTAGCTGGTGTTCTGAAAATTGTTGAGTTTCTAAACAAGTTAGCTGGACCAGGTGGCCTCCTCTTGCAAATCTGTTAATGTTCGGAGTTACCTTGGGCAGCTCCTCAATCTGGTTGGCATCTAAGTACAGCTCCTCCAAGGTCTTCTCATAGTTGAAGATCTCCTTAGGCACCTGCTCCAGGCTGCAGTGGGAGTAGTCCAGCGCCGTGACAGACTCCTCCTCCCCTCGCAGGCAGCGGCACGGCACCAGCCGCACAAACAAGCTCCTCTTCGTCGACATCGTCAGGCACTGCGGGGAGGAGAAGGGCACGGTGAGGGCGGGGGGGCACCCAGTTGACAGCTATCTACAGCTTTGAAAGTGTGTGTAGTCAAGAAGCTAAACACACCTTATCTGTTACCCTCAGCCCCTCAGCATGCACAAAGGCAACGCAGCCAAGGAAGCAGGTTTATAAAACAAGCGCCAGCGTCGCACAAGGAAAACAATTCTAGAATAAGCAGCTTCTTCGTGTGCGTGCAGTTTGTATTTGCATTTTCAGTAAAAGGATTTTTTTCTGTCCATGATAAGCATTAAATGTAGTGTCAAATGATTTTTGCAACGAAGCCAGATTTTATTCTATCAAAAAGAGCTTTGAAACCGGCTTTACTTCTTGTTGTGAACGCAAGTCTGAGCAGGAAGTTTTGTTAACCACTTTCCTTTATCAGTGACGCAAGTGTGAGCTGCAGAGATACCAAGTTAAATATTTAACATGGGAAATCACAGAATCCTATTCCTAACAATCCAATTTTAGAAACAGCAGGTTCTTCAAGAATCCTACTAACAAAACCATGAAAATAACATTCCCACAGGTGGACTGTTTACTGAAGTGATTTATATCATCAACACTTGACCATCACTGCTTTACCCAGACAAAATCATGGCATCAGCTATGAATTCCTAGTCAAACAGGGGATTGTCTAAAATACCTCAAAAACAACAATTCCTGAAAGGAACCCCAACTTTTTTTAAGGTTATGATGAGATCTCGGCAAGTTCAACTTGGAAAGCAAATCTATCCCTAGGACCATCACACCACAAGAAGGTTCAATGAACGTTTCCCCAAAAAATCTTGGGAAAAGAACCAAATTCTCCAGAACTGAAAAGGATTTCTCTCTGGGCATAGTGCAGAGTTGTTTAGGAAGATGAACTCTAGAGACATCCTCTATCAATATTAACTTGGATCAGCAGCTTCAACCTGTTCTACAGGACTTAAGTGTGCTCCAGAGTACTGAAAAAGCCTGTGATAGAGAAAACCACTAGAGGAGGAAAGCCACAAGACACACAAACAGGAGTTAACAGAATGTCACAGTCCACTTGACTTGCTAACATATGCACATGTGTGAAAATTCTCCAATGCACTTGCATTGCACCTGTTCCTCCCTGCATTTATGCGATCCATTTCAGGCACCATTCAACCTGTGCTTTCTTCTTACCCTTTGTGCGAAAGAAAAACTCTGCACTTTCAGAATGACAGTCAGTCACAATACTGTTTTCCTCTCCATCATCAGGGAGAGAGTTTCAAAGAAAATATAAAACGTAAGATGGGGCAAAGATCAATCAGATGAAAGGAATCACACTAGAGAAAACTGCTTACATGTAAATCTGTTATATTAAAGACAAATTGGTTTGCTTCTCCTTAATTTGCTGGTAATAAAGTGCCTGTTTTTTAATCCTTATAGTTTCCAATTTCTACCTGTTAATTATCCAACCCATTCTAATTTGTACAGCACCAACTGTAAGTCAATACTGGAGCAACAGTTAAGGACTGCTGCAAATGAAACATATGAAGAAACAGAAATCTTTTATATTTAATAATCCCCATTAGCACTAATGTAACAGTGTATTGGAAAGAGTACAATTTGATGTGCTTAAGTGATAAAAGGCTGTGACAGAATTCGAGTCCAACCCATTCAATATTATGAACGTTATCACAGCTCATGGCTGTTTCCCAGTACCTCACCCAAAGTGGTAATACAGCTAAGAGATGGCAGACGTGGCTTAAATACCACGAATAAAAAGCAACCTTATTAATAGTCATAAAATGAACTACATAACTAAATCTAGTCAAATGATACAAAGCAGATTATATTAGGGTATGTTTCTAAAAATTGTACCATGTTGTGGCTCACCCATATGAATAACTGAATTAAAGTTATTGCTAATAATTCTTCCCATGTGCACCTGATATTCCTCAGGCAGGTTTAGTTAGATACACCTTTTTGTTATTGTAACTGCTGGTTTCAGAGTCACCTGTATATGTTATTTACCTTAAAAATACAAAAGAGGCTAATAACTTCTTATTGGATTTTCTGTGAAACTGTAGGGCTCTGAATTGCGGTGACTGTGAGGTACTATGCTAACAGAACTGATTTCCACTCAGTTTGGATGAAAAACCAGCTGGGGCTGGCTACACCCTCTTACATTAAGACTGTCTTGATGAAGTACCCAGAGATTTTTGCCATAAAACAAACTAGAGTGTATCTAGGGTACATCATTTTTTATTTTCAATGGAGGCGATTAAAAAGATGGGGTGCTTGAGACTAAGTCTAGAGGACTGTTCGTTTTAGGTCCACTGTTTTCATGCAGCAGAATAGCACGACCATGAAATTAAACAAAAGCCTTCTACTCGGCGTGATCACGGAAAAAAAAAACTAGCGAAAAACAAAACCCTTGCATGGCCTTGAATTTTGAATGAAAATGAATATATATGAACATCAATAAAGTGGAACACAGCTTGATTGCAGCCAAACCATTGTTTTCACTTTGTGCAGTCTACTTTGCACAGAAAGTAAGAAATTTCTTGTACTATCACAAAGAAATAGTCAAATATTGCATCTGTTTTTCCACCCATTTTGTAACTGCTTTAGCCAGTACAAGTTCACGGGGCAGTCTGAGCCTGTCCCAGGAAGCAACAGTAGCAAGGCAGGGTACACCCTGGACAGGATGCCAGTCCCTCACAAGGCCAATCTTCCCAGAAGCCCGTTATCCTAACAGTATTCTTTGAACTGTGCACTTCATGGGAGTAAAAGGCAGGAAACCCATACAAACTCCACGCAGACTGCATCCCAGGAATTGAACCCAAGGCCCTGGTGTTATGCGGCAGAAATGCTAACTACTGTACCACCGTTCCACCCAAGTCAAATATTCTTTCACTTTAATATAGCTTTTTCCCATTTTTTGCCAAAGGAAAAAAAGGCTTATTACATTTATTATAAGACCATTGGAAAGGTTACAACCTAGAAGAGGTTGGCTTGATTACTAGATTATTGATCCAAGGATCTCATCAGGCCATTCCCTGAAACAATCTCAGCTTATCCTTGCAATAAGAATCAAACCAGCAATTAAAGAAGCTGTTCAATAATTTAAACCTACAGTGAGATTTGAAGGAAAGAATTGCACATTTTTTTAAAGCTGAGAAATAGCAAGAGCCAAGCAGTGAAAGCATCACAGAAGATAGAAATTGATCACAACAGTAATGAATAGCTGCTGAGTTTCATGCAACTGCACGCATATTTACACAAGACTTCAATTCCTCCAATATTCATTGTCCCTAAAGATATATAGCTGGAAAACCATGTTTACTGCATGTCCCACTTCCATCAGAATTGTAAATAGAACTGGGGTATTAACATTATGCTGGTACTTAAGCATTTCGCATTTTCTTTGTACTGACAATAAGGGAATCAATTTGAACACAGTACAACTCTCATGACCATGCCACAACAAATTTGGGAATCTTACTGCAAGTCCCTTCATTTTGCTGTATGCTTGGAACAAGGACCCAGCGTTTCAAGTACCATGCTGTTGCACCCAGGAAAGATTATTGACAGGGAATGAATGCCACGGCTAAATCTATAGTTCTGCTGGAATGTCTATAATATTCAAGTTGTTTCTCTTTTTAAAAAGTGCGTACCTTTTCAAGCAGTTAACCTGGAAAGTCTTCGATGAGCAGCTCAATGCATTTTGAATGCGTTTTACATGGGCTAGCAAAACATTCTCTAAGGAGAACAATCCCTATGTGCTTGCTGGTTGACATTAAATGAACAACATACAAAAATAATTACAAAAATAATGTTTTGAGGCATCAGCAGTTGACAGCATTCATGGTGTCCTCTTTTTGACCTATATCCAAGCTTATACCAAGAAAAGTAAAAGCACCAAAATAGCTAAAATTAAAATTTGAATCACTGTGGAGAAAGATTTGTTTTTAGCAAAATGGGGGGTAGTATACTACTGCAATAGTTTGCAACACACAGGTTTTAGGACTGTTTAGGGGACGGCTAATTTCAAAGGAACTGCGTCACACACAGCCAGGCTGCAACACCACCAGCTCAGCACTTAGACCACAAGACACAGTTGCAAATTTCTACTTTTATAGCATCACAACACTCACGCAAGGTCAGAAGTTCAGCTATCTTACGACTATCTCCACTCTGCCAAGAACACTCTGAACTGCTACCCTTAAATCCAGGTTAAACAGTTAAAAACTCGCCGTATTCTTGTATTTGATTTGGATTTTGGATTTAAAACCACTATTTATAAAAAACAAAAGCCTACATCCTTTTTACCCACGTGAAAAAAACAAGGTTTCAAATGTATAAAAATCTTTTAAAACAGCACGTAGTTGGGAGACCAAAATGGGTAGTGAAATTGTAGCAAAAGGAAGTTCTACTATGGTCAGAGAAGATGAACTATTCTTCAAAATGCCACTTTCATGTTACAATAGGCAGAATTATTCATTTTGATAAATATTTGTCTTATGTTGGGTGGCCTTTAACATCATTAAACAGCAAAGACAAGCCCAGGACAATGCAGTGTTTGGCAACAATGAAAAGGTTCTGTTCTGTGCAGATTTTCCAATTCTAAAACTAAAAGCGTCCATTTTAGTGAACAATCACAGACAGTATTATAAGCCTTACATCCAACAACGCTTCAAGCATGTTTTCCAAACAAAGAGACATTCCTTAGTTTATTGCAACCTTTTTCCTATCCACTGAAAGTATTAGCTGTGGTTCAGTTGTTTAGAAAAGCACAAAGCAAATATCTGAAGTCTCTTGCCTCTTAAGCAGATTCAATGTATTGAATGTGGGCGACTCAGCAGCAATTTTAACAAATGTACTCCATTTAATGTACAAGCAACCTTTAGGAAGGATAATCTAATTTCTTTATAGCAAATTACCGAAAGCCAGGAAATTACCTGGATAAAATCCCAAAACACCCACTTAACATTCAGCTTTAATATTTATTTTCACC